GGACCTTCGATCTAGGTATCATCAAATATGAGTGTGTGAAGAAGGCATACTGAAAATCGCCTTTCGAACACACAACGACCACTACGAATTTTTGGTAATGCCCTTTGGTCTCACCAATGCTTCCTCCACCTTCCGGAGCCTTATGAATGATATTTTCAGAAATTATCTTCGTAAGTTTGTGCTGGTTTTCTTCGACGATATCCTTATTTATAGCCCTTCTCTTGAAAGTCATTTTCAGCACTTACGACTTGTTTTGGCGATTTTACGAGGACATGTTCTTTTTGTTAAAAAATCGAAGTGCAACTTTCTTTAACAGAAGGTGGAATATCTTGGGCATATCATATCAAAAGAAGGTGTGGCGGTGGACCCCTCCAAAATTGAAGCAATGCAGAACTGGCCGACCCCTAGGAACATAAAATCGCTATGCGGCTTTCTCGGTTTAATAGGCTACTACCGCAAGTTCATGAAAAACTATGAAAAGATCAGTGCACCCCTTACTTCCTTGCTAAAAAAAGATGCTTTCCAATAGTCAGACAAAACCACCACCGCCTTCGACGAACTTAAAGCCGCAATGACAACAACGCCCGTACTAGCACTACCCGACTTCGACGAGACTTTTGTTATTGAAGTCGATGCCTCCGGAGTTGGAATTGGTGCAGTACTAATGCAAGATGGTCGCCCCCTCGCTTATACCAGTAAGATCATAAAAAAATTGGAGGAAGCACAAAGCTCCGTGGCTCATTACAGTTAGTACTCAAAAGAATTACGCTATAAGGGACGCATTGTGCTTGTGCTAAATTCTACTTGCATAAAGACCATCCTTCAAAAGATGCATTCCACACCTGCGGCCGGGCACTCCGGGTTCCTTAGAACCTATAAGAGAATTAAGCAAAATTTTTATTGGGTAGGGATGAAAAATATTATTGCTAAATTTGTGGCACAATGTGATATATATCAACGACATAAAGGCGAGACAATGGCAAGCCCAAAAAACTGCAACCTTTACCCGTCACGGACTCAATATGGACTGATATATCAATGGACTTCATCGAAGGGCTTCCCTTATCATAAGGAAAAAGTATAATTCTTGTCGTGGTTGATCGCCTTACAAAGTATGCTCACTTTTGCGTTGTTCGTAATCCCTACACTGCTTTTAGTATTACTCGAATCTTTATGGAGAATATTGTAAAATTGTATAGGATGCCGAGATCTACTGTAAGTGATCGTGATAGGGTCTTCACAAGCAGATTTTGGACAGAGTTATTTCAGATGCAGGGCACTAAATTGAAAATGAGTACGACATATCACCCACAAACCGATAGCCAGACTGAAGTAGTGAACAGGTGCTTGGAGACATACCTCAGATGCTTCACCAGTGATCGACCGAAAGAGTGGACAAAGTGGCTTCCCTAGGCCGAGTGGTGGTATAATACAACTTATCATTCATCCACACAATGTACTCCCTATGAGGCTATGTATGGCCGACCTCCCCCTATGATCCTAAAATATATATTGAGTACCTCTAAAGTAGAACAAGTAGACAGAGAACTACAGGACAAAGACAAAATGTTGAAGTTACTAAAAGATAATCTCACTGCAGCCCATGCAAGGATAAAACAACAATATGATCAACACAAAGGCGAAAGAGAATTTTCAGTAGGAGATTGAGTCTTCCTACGACTCCAACCATATAAGCAAACATCAATCCAGACCAGAGCATCTATGAAGCTTTCACCTCGGTTCTATGGACCCTACCAAATTTTAGAGCGTATCGGAGCGGTAGTATACAGATTGGACTTACCCGCTAGCTCCCGAATCTATCCAGTCTTCCATGTGTCGTGTTTAAAGCTCAAGCTGGGACAAAACGAGACAACCCAAAGCCATCTACCAAATATGACTACCCAAGGAGAACTTAGACCTAGTCGATTGCCAATATTGATCGACGGATCGTGACTCGACGACGATGACCCACTACTGAAGTGCTAATACAGTGGGTGAACCTACCAGCAGAAGATGCCACTTGGGAGAGTTATGACGACTTGAATATTAAATTCTCAGAATTCATGGATCGTCAGCCTCGAGGACAAGGCTAATTTGAAGAGAGCGGGTTTGTTAGGACTCTAGCTAGGAGAGTCCTAATTGAATTTTATTGAAAGGGGTATTCATGTAAAACCTACCTAGCTGACCCCTATTAAAGAGGTGAAGAGGCCGGCTAGGGTTAGGGTTAGTTGGGAGGTTGCTTCATAGAGTATGAGTCTTATTAGGAATTGGTTAGAAGTAGGAATCTTGAGTAGGAGTCCTATTAGGAGTTAGGGTTTAGAAGCCCTATAAATAGTCATGTATTCATCCTCTTTTGATAAGCAATAGATGAATCTTTTTAGCAGCCTTTGAGCAGCAACTTGGAGGAAGGAACCCCTATAGAGTTCCAAGGAGGCCGATCCCCTAAAGAGATCAACCCCAAGCTTAGAATCCGCTAGGGTTCTAACATAGTATTTGCTTGTTAGTAGCTGGTACAATCTAGTTTTTAACACCATGCCTTTTACCTTTAGAATAATGTCACAACTACAAAAGAATAAAACCTTGAGAAGAGAGAGGTCCTATTAGAATAGTAAACAATAATTTTAATTCCCAATAGCCTAATTTCTAGGCCTGAACCATTAGAACTTAATATCAGTTGTAAAGGAAAATATCCATCATGCTTGTCAGGTCATTGGTTCTTTATATGCTGTTAGATTAGATGGGGAAAATAGTTAGCCAAGGTTGTTACTCATGTGATAATGTGAATTTTTTTCTTTAATGTGAATTTTTTTCATTATAAAGATGATATGTGATTAAATAAATTGTTTTTAGGGTATTTGGTGAAAATAAAAGGATGAACTTCACTTATTATATTCTTGTTCTTTTTCTGTAATCTTGTATCTAAATTAGTAAAAATCATTATGGTGGATTTCATTTTATGTCTTGAATAGGGATTCTTGTATCTATAATTTATTTTGTGCTAATTTACAAGATTTTTTATGTTGTGCCAGTAATATACGATGTAATATTGTATCTATAATTTATTTTTATAAATTATTTAATAAACATTCCATGTAGGACTTAGCTTTAATGATAAATAATCGTGGTAGATTTAAATTTAATATCCATAGATTTGTTTGTAATACTAGAGCTAGTGAAGTAAAAGATGTATTAAAAAAGATGAAAATAACTAAGAGTATGAGACTTGATGGTTATTCTTTTGAAGACTGGAATAGTTTATGGGACAAGAAAATAATTTAGTTAACTTGTTTATTTAACAAAATTATGATATTCATAAAGATGCCTGATAAATGGAGAAAAAATTTTTTAATGTCAATTTACAAGAATAAGGGCAACACTCAAAACTGTTCTAATTATAGAAGAATTAAAATCATGAGTCATACTATAAAACTTAGGAAAAAAGTCATCAAAATAAGGATAGGACTTAAACCAAATATATCCAAAAATCAATTTGGTTTTATGCTTAGAAGATCAACTATAGAAACTATTTATTTATTAAGACAATTAATAAAAAAATATAGAGAGAAAAAGAAAGATTTGTATATGGTTTTTATTGATATAGAGAATACTTATGATAGAGTTCCTAGAGATTTATTATGGTGGATTTTAGAAATGAAAAGTGTATCTTCTAATTATATTGATGTTATTAAAGATATGTATGATAATGTAGGTACTGGTATTAGAACTATAAGGAGTGTGTAAAGTTAGTTCCCTATTAGTATAAGATCACATTAAGGATCTGCATTAAGTACCTTCCCTTTCACATTGATAACGAATCAACTTACTAATCATTTACAAGATAAACCTTTCTGATATATGTTATTTGTTGATGATATTATTTTAATTCGTGGGAGTCTAAGTGAAATTAATTATAAACTTGAATTATGGAGGAAATTTTTAGAAACTAAAAGTTTTAAATTAAGTAGGACCAAAACTAAATATATGAGATGCAATTTTTGTAATACGAGAATATAGTTTTGGTTAGATGGACAATAAGTTCCTTTAAGTAAAAATTTTAGGTATTTAGGATTGATTAATCAACGAGATGAAGAGATTGATGCAGATATTTTTCATATTGTAAAAATATGATGGTTAAAATGACGAGGGATATTGGAATTTTTATGTAATCATCGGATACTTTTAAGATTTAAAAAAAATTATAAGACAACCGTGAGATCGGCAATGCTTTATGGTTTTTAATGTTAGATAGTTAAAAAATAATATACACAAAAAGTTTATGTTATTGAGATGAGAATATTAAGATGAATGTGTAGAATTAGTTGGAAAGATAAGAAAAAAATATTTTTATTCATGAACAATTAGGCGTGATTTCGATAGAGGATAAAATGAGAAAATAATATTTAAGATGGTTTTGGCATGTGCTTAGGAGACTTATGAATGCGATAGTTAGAAGAAGTGAAATGATTGATGTTAGTGATAAGAGGAGAGATAAAGGAAGACTTAAAAAGACCTTAGTAGAAACTATAAATAAATATTTAAATATATTAAGTTTAACTAAACATATGATTTTTTACATATCTTAATCGCGATACCATTTAGCTGACGTCAAATAGTTGAGATTTGCGGTTTTGTTGTTGTTGATGTCATTTTATGTCTTGAAGAAGTGGCTATGTCTTGGTTGTTTTCTTTAAATAGGAATTCTGGATTTCAGGTTTATGGTTTAGTTATTGAAATTTTATAACATGTAATTGTTGTGACATAGACCTAGATGAATCATTATGGGGCTTCTATAAAAGGAACTTGGTATATGTTAGAAAATGAGTAATTAATTTTAAGCACTTAAAACATATTGCTATTGAAGATAAGTGAACCTTTTCTTAATTTTGTTTATAGCGGTTGATTCTTCATGTCTATGCTGTAATCTAACAATATCATATCAGCATTGCTTTTATACTTTTGTTTTTTTATTTTATTTGATGTACCTGTGAATCAATCTATAGGCTTTGCATGATGGGCGAAACATTTTCTTCATGCTACAAGTTGAAGGAGAGTATGCATATTCTACAGGGTAAGTGAATTTTGGTGCACATAACTTACCAATAGCTCTCAATGTACTTAATACTTATTGTAGCTTGGTTGATATATATGGTCTGCTTATTATTTATTTTTCTTCTGTTTATTACCTTTTTCTTGTGATTCATTATTTCACTAAAAATAATATTTTTTTCTTACAGTATTTTATTTTGCATATAATTCTTGCCATCTAAAGCCATGACCACCAAACATACGAATGTCTTCTCTTCTGATAGGGAATGGAAGTGTAATGGGAGATTAAGGAAAAATTGTACAAGAATAAACAACCATATCCAAGTAGCCTTAATAAAACTCTTTAACTTTATTCATCACCTCCACAACATATATCCAAAACTCAAATAATGATTCTTATTTATAATAATAGGTCCGTTAACACTTAAGCTAACAATTAAAAAAAAAGAAATACCTATCTAATGAAATCCTAATCCAACTGAAAACAAGTGAGAGAAAGTTCGGCATCTTAGTCTAAAAAAAATAAACTTATGACCTCTAGAGAAAGGAATCTTCAACAACAATAATGCAAGCCATAATATTCTAATTATTTGGGCTTAACTACACAACTTACCAATAGCTCTCAATGTACTTAATAGTTACTAGTTACTGTGTCTTGGTTGATATATATGGTCTGTTTATTGTTTGATTTTCTTCTTTTATTACTTTTTTTCTTGTGATTTGTCATTTCACTAAGTAACAAAAAAGTTTTTTTCTTACAAAATTTTATTTTGTTTATAATTCTTGCTATCTAAAGTAAGGTTCGTCATGTCGTACCGTATCGACGTTTCGAGCTTTACTCAATACGGTACGATATGGGTGAATCGAATGGTATGCTAGGGTGTACCGCTCGGTACATATATATATATATATATATATATAATATAAAAAATATAAAAATCAACATATAAAGATATAAAAATAATATAAAAAATAAAAAGGAGGCATATGTTGCCTCAACAATGTCGCCTCCTTTTCTTCTCCTCAACTCGTCAAACAAGGAGAAGATCGTTCATTTGCGGTGTTCGGTGAAGGCGTCGAAGGTTGTAGACGTCTCAGGCCTTCGACGAATAACATGATGAGGGCCGTAGGCATCTCCGGCCTTCGATGAAGAACGCAACCAAGAAGAAGCCGAGCCGTCACCTCTCCGTTATCTCCTGGATCGAGATCGTCGAGGGAGGGTGGCGTTGGATTGGGAAGCATCGAGGTTCTCCCAATTCTCCCTCTTCTTCGAGCGCCTTCTCCCTCTTCTCCCTCGACGCTTCTTTTCCCTTACCACAGCCAGGCTGATACTACCCAGTAGCGGGTGGCAACGGTCGAAATCGACTATTGCCGACCTGTTTCGGGCGGTAACGTTCAAAATATCGACTGTTACCGCTCGATATAACCCCGTATCGTCCGATACGGGGCTAGATCAACGGTACCGCCTGCTACCGGGCGGTATCATTCGGTGTTGGAATCCTTGATCTAAAGCCATGACAACCAAACATACTTATGTATTCTCTCCGGATAGGGAATGGAAGTGTAATGGGAGATTAAGGAAAAAAGTACAAGAATAAACAACCATATCCAAATAGTCTTAATAAAACTCCTAGCTTATTTATCACCTCCATAACATATATCCAAAACTCAATAATGATTCTTATTTATAATAATAGGCCTGTTAACTCAGGAAAAAAAAGAAAAGAAATACCTATCTAATAAAATCATAGTCCAAATGAAAACAAGTGAGAGAAAGATAAGCATCTTGGTCTAACTAAAATAGACTTACAACCTCTGCAGGAAGGAATCCTCAACAACAATAATACAAGCCATAATATTGTAGTTTTTTGGGTTTGACTATGTGGATTTTTTTCCCTTCCGTTGAACTCTAGTTAGGGCAATATGACTGGTCAAAACGTACTTGTGCCTGCTTACTGTTAGCTTTTTTTTTATAATTTACTATTGGTCCTAAGCATGGAACAAGAAGGGTTGCATGAGGAAGTTAACAGTCAACTTAGAACTTTCTCAGATCATATAAGCATAAATCTATAGATTGAGAAGTCTTAGAAAATAATAACTTTGAGAAGTCTTAAAAAATAATAACTTCCCCAAATGGAAATCTATTCTTATGTAAAAAAGAATAGGTTATAGATACAATCATACAATGAATCTAGACATATTTATTACAATTACAAAATAGGACGAAAATCCACCAGAAGATACTGGAATAATAGAAATCTTAATCTTGTCTTGGTATCACACAGGACTTAAAGAAGACTCAATCTGGTCTACTGAGATCCAAATACCATTTACCCAAGACTGGTGTCCCATGTGCACTAAAGTGACATGGCTCCTGTGTAAAAGTATCAGTGTCATGTAGTGTTTATCTTCTTATATTCTCTGTTCTTTCTTGTACTCATAGTTTTCTATATTAAATTATGTGCTGATGTCACAACCAATCAATCATATTGTTTTGGTTCTTTTCTACAAAATTGGATTAATTTGGTGTGTTATTTCCTGAGGAGAGTCCTTACATGTTTTTTGTGGTCATAAATAATATGTCAGAAATAGCAGACTTGACCGCATTACAGGCCTTCTATTTGGTCCTGCATAAAAAAATCTTCACAGTAGGACTTTTTCTTTAACAAAAATATTTCCAAATACATTGAATCTGGATATAGTTCGTGGATCTTGACTCAACATGACGCAATCCTAGGCTTATGCAGATATCAACTCGACCTAACAAAGCTAAACAATAAACTTATATTTGACTATTAATTTTGTGTCACCTGCTCTGATTTTGACCATAGGTTTGGTAGTTCTACTGCTGCTGCAACTAATGTTTGGTATTGTGCTTTGGAACTAATAATCATTGGTTTACCTTGCTTTGTCAACTACATAACTGCTTGAACTCGTTAGCCATTTCTTAAGTTAACTTCCTGCTGAGCTGTAGTATATGATTGCTATTCTTCATGGAATATGTGATAGTTCAATTTTATAGTTGAATAACTCTTTTTTTGTTTCTTCTTTTCTTTTGAAAACCAGTGATGATTATAAGTGTCCTTCTGTTGCTCTTATGTTTCAAGTTGGGGAAAATGCTACATATCAAAATGTAAGGTCTTCTAGTGCTCCTCACTCCGATTACTTGTATTTCATATGAGACAAGAAACATTCATTGATATCTATCCTTTTTGGGCTTATATTAGTGCATAACTTGTATTCTGACCTTTCGTTAATATTGCACATTTGTCAGATATTTACATTGCTAGGTACCTCTACCTATCCTTGTTTGATCTTGTTTTTGTCTGTTTCTTGTAAAATGGAGAAATCACTTTGTTTCTTTAGATGGGAGGATGTTCGAACTTACCTGGTACATGCACTGAAAAAAGCTGCCGTGGTCATGAAGTAGACATTATGCATTTTTCAATTGGAAATGCTATTCCTGGACGATTATATGGTGGCAATGTTGTAGACAACAGGAAAGGAAATGGAAATGATAGGTAAATTGAGATCCTTGTCTTTCTGCTGCAAGGTAGTTTGTCAAAGTAGTATATACTAAAAACTTGCATCCTATTGCTAATTTTATGACAGTTTTGGGCACCTGGTTGATGTGTATGCTTGGAATCCACACTGCCGTTACCTTGACGGGATAGGACCTTCCGGTAATCTTACATTGCTTATCTTAAATTAAAGCATGATCTTTTTTATTGTAAATGTTTCTTCTGTCTGGACCTCTCTTAAAGCAACGGCCTCAATTTCCATTTGATATATGCTGAGGCATGCTTTGAGCACAAAATTTGCTAGCAGTCACCACTTTACAGTATTTATTCTTTTTACTCCCTTCTTTGTGCTTGTTCACTGCACAAACTATGTCCCTCTGCTCTATATAGTCATTTATCTGTTAAGAGAGCCCTATGGTTTTCCAAAATTTGAATTGTTCAGATTTCAAGTATGAAATTCTCCAAATCTCACATATTGGTCAAATTTTTTTGTCGTTAGGAGAGTTATATGTTGGGATTGGCAAATTGTACCTCTGAAATTCAGTTCTAGGATGTAGAGGATGGAACTTAGATGGTGTGATTTAGGAAGTGATTTCTTTAAAATCTTGTGTACTTCTCTTGCCAAATGAGTTTCAGAGTATGGAATTTGAAGGGTGGGATTTGGATACTGACTAATTATAGGATTTGCAGGGTGGAGATTCTTGGGTGGGGTTCTAAATTTGTTTGACTAAATTCATGGTATATCATAGGAAATTTCATGAAGTTTCCATACCAAATGGTGCCTTAAAGGTTGCTTGAAAAAGTTGATATTTCTTGTTTATACCTTTTGTGTTATCTCTATGTTGGTCAAGCCTTGGCATCATGGTTTGTTTGCAACTTGGATGACCAAGAGTTGGGTCATGAAATAGCATTTCTACTTGTAGTTAAGGTACCTGCATAAATTGATTCTTCCCAGAGTCAATATTGGTTGGAGCCAGCACAATGAGCATGTCTCAGTACATTGTTGTTAAATTAAATATATGTCCTTTTTCTCTTGCTTCCATTTCAGTTTTAACATTTTGCAAATTTATGTTGGAATTTTGGAACAAGCTTTACTAACTTGTCATTGTGTCCTCAGGACATATTTCAAATGCTCAAAATGATTGGAAAGGAGCTTGGTGGCACAGTTCTCTAATATCTGGTTCAAGTATGATACACTGATTGCCTATTTTCTTATAGATTTGACAAACTGATTTAATTTCTAGTCTAAACTTATAATCAATCTTTTGATGCGCATTTGCTGTTATGAGAATCTTATGTAACTAAGAACATGATTTTGGTATTAAACTAATGAGGCCTACCGATAGAGGTCCCTGATGAGGAAATCCATTGGCCATTCATCTATTGCTGATGATATACTAAGACCTAAGTTCTCCTTTTTGGACTTCCTAAAGGTACAATCTTTTGTTACATGTGGACAGTGACATTCATAGTTCTTGACTGCTGAAAAACATAATGATAATAAACAGGTGCAAAAAGTCCTAAAAATTTAAGTTATCGATCAAGTCAAAATTCTTTATATTTTTTTTCCCTAAAAGTACTTGCTCAGAATGGATCTTGAATTCAAACAATACCTACTTGAAATTCTGGCAACAGTGGTTTATTTGATGATTATTCTTGCTTCTCTGAGTAGAAAAGAATAGTCCCTGGTGTAATTTTATATTTCTTCTGGTGCATATTCAGTTTCAATCAACTTATCTTTAGGTTGATAATCCCTGACAAAGACCCATAATGGCATAATTTATGAATTTTGCTGCTCATGTTCTAAGATTTCTATCCTGTGAAACCACCCATTACCATCAACCTTTTGCCAATAATTAGGCTAATTGAGTCACATTGTAATGATGATTACCTTTATTTGAGTTTTGTGGAATTTTATGATTACCTTATGTATCTCAAATAACGTCTTTTTCGGATATTGAAGAACAGAGATTCTTGAAGAGAACTCGACTAATTAGAGAGAGCCCAAGATGGTGTGATTTTCAAAATATTACTGAAATGAGAACAAAACAAAACTTAATGTGAATTCATGGTAATGGAGCAACCTGACAGTTCATGCACAAATATCATAAAAACCAGTGTCCTGTTTAGAGTTTAATATGCTCGGGTCTCTACTTCATGTTTAGTAATGTGAAAGTTGAGTATGCTTAAAGTAATACCAATAGAACTGCATATTTTTCTGACCGCTGTATATGGATCAGAAGAGCCTGTGAAGCATGAAGTAACTTAAGAATTATCTAGGCTTATAAACATGAAAATCCTTGTAAGGAAAGCGATTCCAGTGTAAAAAATTCTTAACAAAAGAATGACTTGCCATAGATGCCCATTGATAAAAGAATGCACTAATTTAGTGTTGCATCAAATAATCATTGAAGTTCTCACATTGTTGATGGGTTAGTTCATTTGTAGGATTTATATCTTTACAAACAGCCTATAGCAGCAATATGACATTACCTTTTTTAGAGCAAAGGACACAATATCTTGAGATTGGAGCTAATGAATGTTGATGTCAATAGGTGCAAGGTAGTGGTTAATGGTTATTTAGGATATCCACCTTATAAGATGATTGGGTTATTATGATACAGTAACATATCACCTTTTGAGGTCGCCTGGTATTATGTTACAATTCCTTAACTTATGGCTATTCTCAATTCTTGATTAATCGGTCATCTCCTAAATTTTGGATCTCAGAAGCAAGGATTGTAATTTCGTATCATAGTGGAGTATTGAGCTTAGCTCGGTACGGTATGGTACAGTATACCGAGTGGTACATTTTGGTATACCATTCGGTATATATATATATATATATATATATATATATATATATATATATATATATATATATATATATATATATATATAGAAAAAAAAAAAACCGATGTCGCCTTGGTACTTCTCATGCTCGGTTTCTGCCCACGTGGGGCCCCCACGCAAAAAAAAAAAAAAAAAGGTGATGTCGCCTCGACGGTGTCGCTCGGTTTCTGCCCGCTGGGGAGAAGAAATCGACATTTCCTTCTTCCCCAGCAAAAAAAAAAAAAAAAAAAGACGACGTCGCTCGGTTTCTGCCTGTGTGGGGAGAATAAACCTCCCCGTACAAAAAAAAAAAAAAATGCACGCTCGGTTTCTGCCCGCGTGGGGAGAGGAAATCAAGGTTCCTTCTCCCCGCATAAAAAAGGGCGATGAGGCGACAACACCTCCTCGTCACCTCGTTTCTTCTGCCTGCGTGGGCAGAAGAAATGCTGCCTCGATGACGCTCGGTTTCTTCTCTTCGCGACGTCGCCGAGGTTTCTTCCCTCCTCGCATGGATGAGAGGTCAACGATGACACCAAAGCCTCATCGCCTTAGACGAGGAGGAGGCGACATCTTTTGTGGCGTCCGACGAGGGTGGGCGGCGACGGATCGGGATCGTCTAGGGAGAGCGGTGCCGAATCTCCAGGTTTTCCTTTTCTTCTCCCTCGGCTAATACCACCCGGTAGCGGGTGGCGACTGTCGAAATCGATCGTCACTGACAGATTTAAGATGGTAACAGAGCGGAGACAACTCTAATCGACAGTACTGTCCGGTAGTGAGCGGTCCGCATACCGATTTGCTGGCGGACTGATACATACCGCCTGGTACGAGCGGTATTATTTGAAATTAAAAACCTTGCTCAGAAGTAGAAGTTGTAAGAATATGATGATTGCTCTTACCTATTATCTTATATCAACTATGATTTAGTGCTTTATGGTCTATGCATTGGTTGTTCCTATTTTTGTTGTTTATAGTTGTTTACAATTTTTTCGATTAGCTTTTTCATAAGACAGATCATTCCAAGTTCAAACATTGATTACAGGTATCTTTTCTAAGGATGGCATGATTTGTTTGTTGTAATTTATTCATTATAAGGTCCTGTTTTGCAAAATGCTCCCATAGTATAGTTTATCCTTGATACTACTCTTATCTTATTTACTCTCTTTATTGGAAAACATTTTGGCTCCTCAAGAAACTCCCCAAACAGTGTGTTGCTCTCGAATGACAAATGAGTCGATTACCTACATCTGAAAAGAGAAATGATTTATTTGCCCTCTTTCACGAGGCCCACACATCAACATGCTCTTTGGATGCTTCATGGGGAATTTGTTTCAGCCTTCCTCCTTATTTGGTATCTCTCCTCAGGCTTCATCGAAGAGGATAGTCCGTTTGGAAAACGTGGTCAGAAAGGCACCTACTCTTTTGAGTTCTCCAGACCATTGAGGACAATGGATCGTCTTCAACAGGTAAATTGAAAGTTCTATCTCTTTGAGGCTCAAATTCTGATGGTGATATGTTATCACAAATGAACAGAAAGTTCACGAATTTGGTTGCAGGATGTTCAATTCACTATCGGCCAGTCCAGCAAGGTGGCTGTTGCTTTCTGGTACCCAACCGATGGAAATCCATGGAGCAAGTCTCAGCACTACTCTGCAAGCTGCAATTGGTTGACATTGGAAGCTGCATCAGTGTCAGGACCATCCGTCTCTCGGGTATCTTCCTCTGGCTCATGGGATGCTGTAACTGCCTTCGCTTTGCTCCTATCTGTAGTCTCCTTCTGCCTTACCGTTTTCATTGGATATTGGGTTTCCAAAACCAAAGCTGTGCCGTTCACACCTATCGATCATCTATGATGAGGTACTGAAGGCGTACGTATCTTTCACCTTCTTTAGCTGCATTTTCTATGATATCAGCTTTTAAAAGCTCAACTCCTGGGTTGTAATTTTTTCTAGTGTATTCAATATGCTCACTTTCATCATAGAGATTATTGTCACTTGTTACAATATTTACGGTGTTCCTGTTAAGAGCAAAGAAGCAGTAAGATTTTTCCTATGATTATGTGATTCAACTTGATGTTCTAAAAATACTGCTTGAAGTTAAATGGGTAGGAGAAACATTAAAAGTAAGGTGTGCATTCGGGATTCAATACCAAAATCTTACTAACGATGATATACTAGTCAAATTCGATTCCAAAAAAACTATTAATTTCACAAATTATTATGTTGGAAAACACTTGTCACATTGCAAAATTACCATGTAAATTTGTATTTTTCTTTTTTTTACAAAGACCAAATGACGAAATTGAGATTAGATTTCAAGATCTTATTATCATCAAGAGCTTTACTTGGTCAATTGACGTCTCATATTTACATAATTAATCATCGAATGAGATCAAATTGGATCAGAGTTTGTCCGAATCCGAAACTTTTGTGATTATGATGAAAAAGAGTCCTATTCTATTCCTCTACTCATTCGCTCTTTCCACTTTTACGCATAGACGAGGCAATACAAGTGGGAATACGAACCTGGCGGGGTTTAAATGTGGGTGCTTTCCATTCAGCATCCACTCGAGGCAGCTGAGGTATTTCAATTGGATCGGTACGGTGACTTTCTTGATGTGGGATAATACCGATGTCGTAAGTTAAGTCGTAACTCTCTTCCCGTCGGTCCTATAAAATAAATAAATAATAAAAAATAATTATCTATGTTGGCGTAGCCAGTAGCAGCCATCGTGCCACATCTCTCGGCCCACGAGAACACGAGCTCGCAATCCCGACCCAACCCTAACGCCGGAGGAGATCGATCGATCGACCAAGTTAGGGTTCGGGTCCTTCGCTCTCTGCAGCGACGGAGCTTGCCAGATATATCAACCCCGTCTCTTCCTGTCTATTCGAAGCCAAACGTCCCTCGATCTTTTGGATTGACGTAAGGGTATTCCAGTTTTCGTAATTCAATCGGTCCGATAGAGTGCGATGGATTCGGAGGAGGATGATTTCGGGGACCTTTATGCCGGCCTCGATGACCAGGTGAACGCCGAGATCACTGCCATCGGTGAATCGCACTCGGCAAAGGAGTTCGATTCTACGAGCGAGGAGTGCTGCGCGGATGAACGAGCTGGTGAGGCGGTTGAGAGGCAGATGGGTTGTCATGCGGGCCGGGATTTGGATTTGGAGGCGGATGATAGTGAGAGTGAAGACGAACTCCACATAGTTTTGAACGAAGAGGACGGTTCTAACTTACCGACCTCAGAGAGATGTAACGGTGGGATGGGAGTAGCATGGTGTGAAGAAGAAGAGGATGAGGACGAGGATTTGGTGATTGTTACTGGCTCCGAACATCGTCAGAATAATAGCCGGAAAGGCTACAAGCAGCCATTAGCCAACCTATGAGGGCAACAATAGTTGCTGCCCTCTCTTGTCTTTTGCGTCAACAATTTTGACATCAAAAGCCTTTTTAAAACATAACACACGCAGTTCAAAAGCAATCTTTCGCATGAACAACCTGGTTCTGATATTACTGTCGGGAAATCTAAGGGCGGCATCACATGCACAACAAAAGAACATAAAAATAAAAATTCTAAATTTCCCAAAAGGTGTTCATCGTTGTGCGAAGATTGGTAAGCAAAAACTCATGAAACTGAAAACTACGTGTGAGATAGTTGTTTTACCTAGGGAGATCGTATATCTTTGAATTCCTGCAGATTCGTGGGAGAGAATGAAAGAGGTCAAGCATCATCCTCTCTAGCGGTGATCTACACGGTAGGGGCTGCGAAGATTCTCCTCAAATTGCTGCCCAAATCTCCACACCCGTTGGTTGAGAAGAAGGGGAGAGGAGAATATGAGGTGACAACCAAGAAGCCTAGCCTATTGCCCTTTGGTTCTCTCCTATTTATAGAGGCTCCCTGTTAACTTAACCTTGATGGATCCTGTCCTATTAGGTATTGAATCTCTATCTAATTGCCGAAGCCTCATAGATTAGTGGGTCTCTACCCAATAATCTTTTATTGGATCTCATCTATAAGATCCAATAATTCAAGAGCTTAATGGATATCCAATAAGATTGAGGCTCCGACGAATATCTTATATCCGAACCTCTACTCGTCGCAACACTTATCATATGTGTGTGACCCTCTAGGCTCAATATCTAGTTGGCTGTGAGTCATATCTGTTAGAATTCATTCTAGCTCAGTGAATTATTATCTCCATAATAATTCACTCGACTCATTGACTACGGACGTACTAGACCACTACGCCGCAGTCCCCAGACGATACGGGGAAATCTAATCCTTTGGACTTATCTATCCTCAATTACCGTATATCTATAGTCCCTCATCCATCTAATATCCTAGAGACTATATGCCGAGCATGGTGCTGTTAGGCCCATACGGTTTCTCCTCGAGTCTCGCTCTAATCGGATTTTTCCTGAGAACTCTTTCTCCCTCAATTCGAATGAGCCAAGGATTTATCTAAGCAAGAACACATGAGATATTCCTCTCATGATATCGAGAGCGGATGATCCTCTATTGACACTCAATAGCCTTTGTAAGATTGACTATTACTCCCGATAATCGGTTATGCTAGATCTGAAACTTCCAAACCTATAAGTTCGGTATCAAAGAGTGGAGTACTCATATAGGACATCCTTGGTATCTCAAGTCTAAGTATCAGGTACACCATTGGGACGACGGAATCACTATTTGACAATGAGGTATCAATTATCCAGCATTCCGTGAGTGGATCAATCAGTGAACTCATTCTTCAATGAGCACCTGCACTATAGCCTTAGTGTCCCCACACGAGCAGCTGTGAAACCAGCCACCTCCATCATATGGACGGGTATACAACACACCAGTCTGTCCGGTTATCTCGATGTCCTTCTCGAGTAACCTATGACTATGATTATTTAGGGTCTGTGTTTAAAGGTGAATTGGTCTCATTATCGTGAGTTAATCACGATCTGATTTTCATTGCACAGATCTATGGACATCACAATATATTGATGTATCAAGCAATATAAAGTGAGAAAATGTCATAATAAGCAAAAAGACTGCATGTCATGTCACGCGTGCTATCACTCACGTGATTGGCTTGCAGGGCACCTATGACTAGCAAGTTTAACTAAGAATCCTTTTCGCCTAGGCTTACAGCTTTTGCTCTAAGCCATGGGTTTAAGTCCACCATCTACCTTTTTTCTTCCCTTGATATGAAAATGCCTTTTAATCCTTTCAAGTTCTAATATTACCTGCTTTGGTTGCTTGGAACATCTCATTTAGAGGGTAGGGAATTTACAATCACTCTTTTTTATCATAAGAAGGGAACCTCTCCAACAATCTAATTTCTTGTTTCTAGACCATTCTTCTTAGGTTGATTTGAGGAGGGTGGAGTATTCTTGTATTCAAAGGGTAGCAAGCTTAACATACAATTAAGTAGCTAACCAAGAGTTGCATCTTGTTTTATCCCTTGAATGTCAGAAATAATTGACTTTTTGGATTTTATTAATAGACTCGAAATGTATTCAAAACCAATGTTTGATGTATCGCTCGAAACAGTACAAAATAGGTAGTATGTATTGGTCCGCCAACTGACCAGTATATTAATCGGTACACAGACCAGCCTGTTTTGGGCAGTACACAGAAAAGGGTTAGGTATTGACCAGTATGGGTGATATATCAGTTGATACAGTTGAAACCCATGCTGTATTGGCCAATATGGGTTGATACTGGTTGAAATTTGATCAATACCAACACAAATTTGGTCAAGTTTGACCCTGGTGGTCAAATTGACCATTGGTGCTTTAAATCCCTTCCTTCCCCCGCTTTCACTCACTCTCATTCACTCTCTTATTCTTACTCTCTTTCTCACTCTTTCTCACACTTTTGCTTGTGATTAAGGTTCCTAATCAGCGACTAGTGCTAATTGAACTATTGATTTAGGATCTAGTGAAATTTCTCTCCAATTTGAAGGTAGTTAGCTTCTTTCTATGTTTTATTCATTATTTCATATAATTAGAGGCGTATTAATGTATATTTACAAAGATTAAACATGGTTAAGATTATTCTCTTGTGTTACTTCCAATATGGCCTATTGTCTTACATTTAGGCCCAAATTTGGGTGTTTAGGGTTAATCACAGCCTTATGCATTCATTTATACCTCATATACACTATATTCTTAATTAAATATAGTAAAATTACCATTAACTTTGTATAAGAAACATAAAAGTATTTTTGTGAATTTCCAATCATTTTGCAGTCTGGTTTTGAAAACTGGTACGTACCATGATATTGACATATGGTATGCCGATATTGACTGGTATGTACCTGTCTGCCCATGTACTGATACCACCGATCGGCATGGTATAACAGTCTTTGCTCAAAACAATAAATTTTTGCATATTTTTGGTTCGATCTGCCATGGGCATAAAATGTGTCGGTGAACTCTAGGTTATTATGTGAACTTATAGATATGTTATCTCTATTCCTTTAAAGAGATTTCTGGCTGCATGTAAAATTTTGTGCAAGGAATATGTGACCAATATAAGGAGGAATGCGATGAGGCATCCTCCTTGTTGTACGACCCTCTTCCATGCTTTTCGAGAACCATTTATAACGTGTGTGGTTTTTGAAGTGTACAACAAATCATAATCCACCTAGCATCCTCTGCCCGAAGCTTCTTGTCCTTAGAAGGGATCCCAAGAATTTCCAACTACCCTATCTTTACTTTTTTAAGATCTATCTTTAATTGTAGGTTTTTAAGTTGAAAAAATTCATACTTATCTTATTTGAATGCCATGGTGTATGTGACAGAAAAATGGTGCACAACTTCACACGAGGCTTATTACTTAAAATTGTCATTTCATGCATTCAGAGTCTTATCCGTGGCAGATTATCTTTTAGTAACAGTTTATTTTCCTGGTTCTACTAGTTCCTGATTTGTTTACTGTCAGAGTTGTTTAAAACTTAAAAAGTGAAGGTAATCAAAACTGTTAACTTGCATTTTTCAATGTCATAAAAGGTTACTATATTCTCTTTTCCTTGCATGCAGTATGTTGTGCATAAACCTAGATGGCCTAGTAGGTCCTGCTATTTTGTCCTCTCCCAAGACACCGGAAACAAATTCCAAGGCAACTACTGAGGCAGTTGTGACCAAACTACGCCACAAGATTGATGACACAGAGGATCCTTCGAGTGCAAATGGCTCTAAACATAAAGCTGCATCTCATTCTGCTATTCAAGCTAATAACAATTCAGGTTCTTCAGACTCTGACAGCCATTATAAAGCATCCAAGGACTTGGATTGTTCAAAGAAGATGCATAGTTTCGTGAAAAAATTTCCTATGAATGCAGTCACCAGATCACGAGAATCAAGCAAATCTTCTTGTTATTATTCAAATGGTTCCAGAAGCAACATTTTAAAGTCAAAGGAAAAAGATTGGAAGTGTAACAGTGATTGTCTTAACCTCTCTCCAAATTATTACAGAGATCATATTGGAAGTAGACTTGACTGCATGGTTGCTTCTGCGTCTTGTGAAGAAGCTTCTGTCCTGTCTTATAGGACAAGCCAGAATGGCATTGATACTTTTGGAGTGGGCAGTAGGACAAGGGAAGGGAAACATGATTCTGATCTAGATGTTGGGGGATATTCGTCTTTTGATTATGAAAGAAGAAAATCAAGAAATTATAAGAGCAGAATATATGCTGAAAAGCATTTGAGTGTAAAATCTTCTACCAGAGCATCTCAGAGGAAGGGAAATCATGATACCAATCACAAGAGACACTTGGTGGCGGGAGATTGTTCTCGTCCAAAAAGTGTTGCATCAGAGGAGAATGGAACAGCTTTTGAAGACCACTTTCATAGATGGTATCATGATGAGAGAGAGATAGTAAGTGATGCTTGTGAGGATTCTAATGAATCCATTTTAAAATATAATACAATTTTCTTGGAAAAGGACCCATTTTTATGCCATCAGAAGAGAAAAGTGGTTCAGGATCATTTTAGGATCAAAGATGGACGTGATGTAAACACAATTCAGCACAGATATAGAGAACATAATTTGCATGTAGTGCAAAGAAGACCTGTAGCTAACTTTATTAGGGAAGGGGGAAGCCTCTATCACAAATCTGATGGACATGTACCACTCCCTGCCACAGAAATAAGAAACTCAAAAAGAAGATACAATGACACAAGCTCCTGTAGCGAGATGGACATATCAAATTGGTATATTGAACATGATGCAATACCGCATCAAAGAGATCTGCATGGTGCCATTTCACCAAGAGAATATGTTGACCAGAAACAATCTCTTGTTGTCAGAGATAGACATAGTAGAAATAAGGGATATGGAAATCATTTTCCAAATGGCAACTATCATGGCCATTCATCATATAAAAATGATATCAAACTTTTCTCTAATGAATATAGAATGGATGAAAGGGGTTTATATTCTGATGAGAATGTGGAGTTCGAGTTCAGTCCATTGACTACGCGACAACTTTGTTCTAATGATGAAATCTGGCTTGAGCATCGAGAACAAGTTGGCTTGTCTACTAATGAAGGATCCTTTAAATGCACAAAGAATTCAAGAAATGAGAAAAGTCATGTTAACCAGTATGCAACTAGTTACAGTGATGATGATGTATTGGTTAATGATAGAAATAAAATATTTGCCGAAGAATCTGCTGCACCTCTGTCAAAGGAATATAATAGATTTGTTTTGGACAATTTTGATAAGAGAAGACATGAGCTGGGAACCTTAGAGCACCAGGAGGCTGTTAATTTGCATTTGAATGGTTTGAAAAGAAAGGTAAAACTTGGGGAAGCCAAGGCTTATTCTTTGTATCTGTGTACTTGTATCATTTTGAATATATCTGCCATTATACCATTGGGCAGCTTCTCTTTTACATGTCTTTTATTTACCTGGAGAAGAATGCAATAACTTGTAATTAGATGAGCCAGTATTTTTCTCCACATGTTTCGTTTACAAACCATGAATATGTTCTTAAAGCTCTCCACATTTCAAGCCTGAAAATTTTCAGGATGCAAGTCTGAACCAGCTTTTGAGCTATGACAACTGTGATTGCAGCCTTAACCTTGAAGCTATTAATCTTTTAATATGATGGGTGATGACCAATGAAATTTCTTTTTGCTTTTTTTAGAAGTTATTTTAGTCATCTAGGCATTCACTTGATGCATATGAGGTGTTATTTGATTAGGGAGTTATGTCTTTCTTTTGGAAAAAAAAATTTAGCAAGTTCAGAGGGAATTAGAGATCACTTGGTCCGTCAAGTAGAATTATTATTCTTTCATTAAAATGTCATAATCAAGGTTTAAAAATACCAGTGTTGGTGCCTGAATTGGAAATCTATCAGATTGGTACCTATGGTGCATCTTGGTACACCAATACAACAAACTAAAAAGAAATGTTAGCACTATATGTTTGATATTGCTAGTACATCATCCGTTGATATGGACCAGAAGCATAAACCATGAAATTTAAAACCAACATTAGAATTTTGCATTAGATGTTGCCACTTGTTACGGCTTTTCCATTCTGATAACAAGTTTCTTGATTTCCTGTCGTGAGTTTGTATTAATAATTGAAAATTACTTCTTAGCTGATTTATGGCCAACTTTAATTCTAGTTTTGTTTTCTGAAATTGACTCATCTTGCTTGTATAAAATTTGATGTTATGGCAATGGTTAGAACTATAATCTATCGTCATATGTCTTTATGATATACCTGATCATTCGTTTTGCTACATGTTTATTTTATTGTCATCGCTTCAGATTGTTTTAGCATACATTTAAGCATTTGCAATAAATCCTTGATGCTGGTTGTCTATTGTTTTTTTCTGTCAGCCTGACATGCTTAGTTGATACTGATTGCTTCTTGATGATTTCTGGTATTGGTAACTGAAGGCTATTAGTTATTCTGGTTCAGACTTGATTTTATGTGCTTGTTTATAGCTTAATTAGATGTTTTTGTTGAACATTGTGTCAGACCAGTCATCTGGTATGAGACATCACTCTGCTTATAACGATCAATAGGAACTGAAAGGGAGAGCTCAAAATTGGTTCCGTTTCCTTGTCTGTGAATATGTGTATGTTGTGGGAGTTGCTTTTGTTCGCACTAATTCATAGATCATCTATCTCTGAAGTTCATTTGGCTTTTTGAGCCATAAGTGTCTAGTTTCAGAAAATACACTTTATGCACTTTTGAGAAGGTAAAGAATAATTGCAGGTTTAAAGTGCTATAGTAAGATCATCAAACCATAAAAACTTATGAATATGCTTTTTTTAAGCTGATTTCCTTGAGATATAAAATATCATGTTCTTGCTCAAGTTTTTTTATTTCTCGAAAAAGAATGTGTAAAAATCATCTGCACTCAGTTAATTTTGGTGTGTCAATTTATTATTGAGCTAGCTGTTAAAACACAAAGTATAAAGTTTTACTTTTTTTTACTGCACGAGAATGATTCTATTTATATTACATTTATTTTTTAGATCTCTAAATGTGGCATTGTGGATGAGGACTTCATGCAATAGGTTTATGCTATATTTGTTAATTTGATTAGACATTTACAATTTGATCTTTTTATCTTTTGTTTTGAGGATTGTCTTCCTACTATAAAATGATCACCATGTTTATAGTCCTGATTATAAATACAGTTAGGAATTTGGAGTTGATGAGTTTCTTAACTTTTATTATAATTTTTTTTCCTTAGTAGCTTTTATCCTTTAAATTATGTTGACTTGAGAGAAGCAGAAATGTACTTAGTTATGTAGGAAGTTGAGACAGTCACATAATTATTCATGGTCTGATATTAAAGTTTTGTTGTACAGTAGTAGAATCTTGCTACTGATGTTGACTTTATACAAAGCACAGGAAATCATTAGGGATATGCAGATCTTGACTACTTCTCAGGCAGCTCAACTATGATTTGATTTATTGCTGGTTTTTGTATGTCCATGAGTCCATCTTTATAGAAGTAACTCTTTATATGTGTTTGATATTTAAAAGAAAATGATAGATGTGAATAAATCTCAGGCTCAATAGGGTTGTGTCATAAGAAAAAGTGTTAGGACAGTGGATGGTAGATGTTTCATGCCTTTATTTTGAAGAAAATAAGTGATGTTTGCAGTGGTCATCGAGAGACCCGTATTATGTGTGTATACACTTCTGCATCTGTGGGTGTGTTTATATGTATTATATATGTGTATCTTTTATTCATGAGTGTTTATCGACTGGTTTAAAGGTAAGGCTGACCCTCCCTAGACCCCGCATTGGCGGGAGTCTCGTGCACTGGGTATGCTGTTTTTCAGTGTTTATTGACTGGTAAATGAAAGCAAGAAAGCTGTCTGATAGATAACTCATCTTGTGATGTCCACAAACTAACTAGTTGCCTTTCTGAGCAACTCTTTCTAATCACCATAAATAGCTAGGCTGTGTTGAATTTTTTTCATTAGTGAAAAAGTTGGTCTGGAATATTATGACCGCTAGTATGTCAAGTCATGTCTTTGATCAACATTGGTCAGTTTTATTTTCAGTGGCAGTATCTAATGTAATAATTGTACTGTATTATTATTGATTGCTGCAAACATATTACACTTAGATATGTTTTCTGCTTGTATATCTTTTTTCAGATTCTGATTATCCTGTTAGCAAATATTACATCGATGGTTTTTGCAAGGTATCTGACTATGCTGTGGAACAGTCACATGCCTGCTGAGACAGAAAACCTGGGTCCTGTTTTTCATTATTGTGTTGCAGTGGTCGTGTATCTAGTAATGAACTCCCCACACACTGTAGATTAACAAAATCTTCATATGTCATCCCCCATCTTGTTTTCATCATTATGCTGTTTTATTAATTAAGGTATTTCAAATTGTGAACTCATTGATTCACAAGAAACTGTCCACTTACCACTTGTTTAAGTGTAGAAGTCCTAGTTGACTTCTGCAACCTCATGGTCCTCTGTGATTTGATCCTTCTGATCTCCTTGCTGCTCTTACATTTTGTGCCCTTCCAGTTAAGAAAACTGAAACAATACTGCAGTACCATTGTGTTCCTATTGTTTTATAAGATTGCAATAAACTCCATATGCAACTCAAAACCTTTTTTCTTTTTTTCATGATAATTTCTTTTTAAATTTTGCATGCCAAACACTGGAGTGGAGCAATATATCATTTAAGCTGCTGTTAAGATCATTCTGGATATTTTTTGAATTGTGTTTTTCATTTTCATGTTAATTTGCTGACATCGTTTACCACCTCTCATTTTATTTCTGGTTTTCCTGTCTATGAGTGTTCATCCAAAAAGGGAAATAGGATTCCTTAATTCTGCTCTTGTGGAGTTGCATTCCTGCTAATTAATGTGGGTAATTGTCTTTCTAACTTTTGTTGATTTGCAATCCTGCTATTTTTTGTGGGCAAATTTTTCTTTTCTTCTTATGATTTTCACCATTTAGATTTTATACTAATACTGTCCCTTTGGTTATATTCTAGACATGGCATACCGATTTTTCTTTGGGTTGTGCTGATATTACTTGGGGGAAAAAGAAGTGAGAGGAAAGAAATAAAGAGGAGAACAACTAAGGACAACATTTACCTAGTTGATCACTATTGAACTAATCCATACACTAAGTCTTTAGTGAATTGGATGTGATGGATGATCTTTAGCAAGGTGAAGGTCTCAGGCACTTAAGGACTTGGGGGGTGATCAAGGATTAGCATTTCATGTGCCGTGGCAGATGGGCATTACCAATATCCTTAGGGCATGACTTGTTATAACGTTGTGCCAGTTGAGATACTCTTATGTTGGCCATCAAAGGTCAAAGTTGGACTAGCTATGTGTTGACACCTCTCACATTGGTCAGGCTGATATTTCGTTGGTGCAATATAATTTGACTCGGGTCCATAGTACAGGAATCCTTGATTGTAACACATAAATCAAGGAAGGTTGTTAAGCAAGGAATTTGGTATGGATGACAAAATTGACTCATGTCAATGGTGGAACCATCTTGGACTGGACCTTCCATAAAAAAATGATACTATTGTTTGAGATGGCCTGATTCGAATATTGTTCTTTGTTATAGGATGATTCTAGTATGACCTATTAGATCACGGGGAAATTAAATTGTACATCCTCAGTCTCGATTATGATCCACAATTATTCGAGCTAAGAATTGGAGTCAGTGATTTTTATTATGACCTTTTTTTTTTGGTAAGTAAAATTAAAAGATAATAAACCGAGGAGATTGAGAGTACCCACTTTATTATTATGACCTTTATTATGGTAAGTGGTTGAAACTACATGTTTTTGTCAATGTGAGTTGCATTGCACTAACTTGTATTCACTGGTCCGACCATGGTCCAGTTACAGACCATAATGGTTTGGTAGTTGTTGCTATTATTCTTTTATCTTTCTTTTGGGTTATACTGCTTGGTATGTATATTAGGAATCATATTGATTCAATTTAGATTACCACACCAGTACCAAACCAAGATTTAAATCCTTAGTTGAGACTATATAGTTTCTAACCAAACATTTATTCCACTATTATGATGGAAATGACAATCTTTGTCATACATGGAATAATCCGTTCCAACCAATGTTAGACTGTAAGTGTACGTCGCATAGAGGATGATACGAATAGTGGGTTAGATCCAAATAATGGATGGTGATATAGACCAATGTTTATATGTGATCTTAATTCTAGTTGAAGGTTCAGAAAGGGGCCGCAAACAATTTATTGACTAAGCTCCAAGTTCATGATAAATGATCAGTGATTTCAATAGGCACTC